GATTTGAAATATTTACATTTAACAGTGGTTTAATGATATATTCTGTCAAAATCAGGGTATAAACCCTAGGCCCTTTTTAATTGATCAAATTTTAAATCATTTTTTAATAAAATTATGATAACTGTTTTGAGGATGTCAAAGTTACATGAGATTCAGCTTTCGAATGCAGAGTAAATAATTACCTGCATTTGCCATTCACCAAACATCAGCTAAGGGTTTATGACTGCCTCGTGCTAGGATTATAGAATGCAAAATATAGAGGAAGATAACCAGATTAGTAAATAATTATAACAAATAAGGCTACATGTTCTCTAAAGATATATGCAAAAAAGAGGTTTTTAGGAGGCATAGAATGCTTTCTTTGATGGCGGTGGGAGAGCAGTGTTAATATTGGGAAGGTATTCAATTTGTTTTAGTTTGAATTCTCAATAAAAGATTTTAAGTTTTGAATTATCAGTTGAAACTATCATTAAGAAAAGCAATAACAATATCATCTTACATATTTATGACTATTTCTGTGTAGACATATTTTTAAGAACAATAAAAAAGATGTTAAAAAAGAATTTAAAATTTTGTTATTAGTAATTGTTAAGTAACTAATATATTAATATATTTCAAACAATATGCAATTGTTTGATTAAAAACAAAGATAAAATAAAGATATCAATAATGTAATACAGGCAAAGCAGGTTTGCTGACAGAGAACAAAACCAGGCATGCAGGAAGAACAGATTTACCAAGAAGTCATAGGAATAAGATATTAAATTTTGTAACAGTTTTTTTTTCTCGCCAATATAGAGGGGAAAATGTGATCAATTGATGAATCACAAAGTTCATTAAAAAAATCAATTGTTCAAGAAAAGCTCAACAGTGTCTAAAAACTAACATCAAAAAGAAAAAAAAGAAAACATTTTCAAAATTGAATATAGAGAAACAGTACAATGCAACGAATACCATACTCAGTAATATTGGAACAAAAACACAGTAAGCAAACCCATGGTGTATTGCTTTTGTTCCCTCAACATAAGTCAGAAGGACCTCACACAACACAATTCAGTAAAATCAATTATATGATGGGATTAACACAACATGTTACATATAAAATGCTTGCAAATCAACTTGTTTAATCCAGAGGGAGATTATAGATTATACTTACCCTGAACATGCAAGATTTCATATCCTTCAGGAAATCTTTAATGAACAATGTTTTCTCAGTTGAACTTTTGATGTATACTGAATAATTATGCATTCAATAGTATATACTTTGAAAAATACTTATAGCATAACTGTATTATGTTACTACTTCTTTGCAGAGCTCTTTGCTTTAATAAACAGTTGATACAATAGTAAATTTGCATCCTAAGAAAATATTGAAAATCTAGTAAGTTTAGAAGACAAAAATCAAAATATTTTCTCTGTTTGTAATTTTGTTTTTTTTTTTTTTTGAGAGAGAGAGAGACAGAGAGACAGAGACAAAGAGAGATTGAGAAGCAAAGAGAAGAAAGGAGGGAGGGCCTAAAGGAGAGGAATACATTGGTATTGGACCTCTAATGTTTCTACTTAGAATTTACTCAAGCAGGGGAGAAGAAGGGTTAGGGAAAGGAATAAATATTTATTATGTGGCTTTTAATTATTCTTTCTGAAATACTTACCAGGGATCTGTTTATATGGTTAGGTATGGGAAAATGTTTACAGGTTGTTACATCTAAGTGCCCCAATATATAAACGTTTGGTTGAAACCACTTTAAATGAAAATTCTGGTCCTAAATCAAAAGTTACTTATGATAGAAACATTCTGCTGCAGAAGGATTAAAACAACCATATTCAGTGTAAATTTAATTTTTGCAATTATTGCTGATGACAGGACTCAACAAAACATAAAATAGGAGAATCTCAAACCAAAGAAAGACACCGGTACCTCTGCATACTGACTATTCTTGAAGTTAATGAGACAGGACTTTGGCTCACTGCTTACTAACTAGAAGATTTTTCTTGTTCTTTTTATTTGGACAAAGGAGACATAGAAAAGGCCAAGTTAGAGGAGAATAAATCCTTAAGGTATTGGCAAGAGTCATTATCAAGGCAAACTAACTAACAGCACCACGCCAATGTACCACATATACCAGTTGTGGTTCTTACCTTATTCAGATGGAAAAGTACCTGAATATCATAATGTTCTTGAAGAAGTCCGTGACCTTTTATTATATTTAACTAGAAACAACTTGGTGTAAGTCCTTGATTAAATCAAACACTATATTAGATTCTACTATAGATAAGTAGCAGATAAAATGAAATATTTTAAAATTAAAGAACACATCTATTAAGAGAATTTCAGTATGTGTGTGCACGTGTGTGCGCACATTAGGAAACATTTGCTGTCACCAGGGAAAATCGAAGAAGAGAAACTAAAAGCCGAACAGGTTTCCCAGGACTGTAAGGAAGGCTAACAGGAAGCTCTCTGAGGACCGGATAGTATGATGATATTAACAGGGAAGAAGACAATTTAGTGATTTTTTAAAAAAATGTAACCAATTGATGTTATATTAATAATTAACTCTCGTTTCTTATTATACAAGTTACATTATTATTCTTAGATATGTGGAAACTAGCATACTGAAGTATTTAAACAGGGTTCTGTGTTTGACAGCAATAACTTACATCTTGTATTTCTATAGATGTAATGTAGATTAGGAGAGAAACAAGTCAGTTATTGTCATAAATTTCTACTAGAAATGAGAGGCATGGCTGGTAAACTAGAAAATATTAGTGAATGACTATGTCGTTTGTTTCTAAATCCAATGGATGTTTTCTATGTATCTTATAACCCATTACTATTTAGAGACTGAATGAAAAGTGTCTTCCTAAAAGTAAAATGATTTCTTTTATTTTTTATTTTATTGGAGTTAGGACATTTAACATGAGATCTACCCTCTTAAAATATTTTAAGTGTACAATAGTTTTATTGTTCGTAATAAGCACAATTTTGTACAGCAGGTATCAAAATCTAATTCATCTTACATAATGGAAACTATATACCCATTAATTAGGAATTTCACATTTTCCTTTTCTCACAGCCCTAGGCAACCACCATTCTACTCTTAGCTTTCAGGAATCTGACTATTTTTAGACAGCTCGTATAAGTGGGATCATACAGTATTTGTTCTTTTGTGACTGGCCTATTTTTCTTAGCATGTCCTCAAAGTCCATCCATGCTGTTGCCTATAGCAGATTTCCTTCTTTTTTAAAGGCTGAATAATATTCCTACTAAAAGGATTTATAAATCAAAAGAGTTTAAACTGCACAACAATTAGCAGGAAAAGAAATGTTTTCAGTGGAAATTGTATTGACCTCTGTGACAAGACATTCTCATTGTTCAAGGTAGCTCTTGAATCACAGGAGACTTTTCAGCCCCTGTCGAGAATAGAGATTCACTTTATTTCTATTCAGGGAAGCAGATCTCTTGTAGACTAGCAGAGCAACATGTGCCATATCCATTTAACCAAAGACATACTAATTTCAGAGGATAAAGAAAAATACTACCATGTTCAATGTAGATCTTGAAAAAGATATGTGTGTGTGTGTGTGTGTGTGTGTGTGTGTGTGTATGCATCTCCAATATGAAAAAAAAGTGACTTTGAATTAGTTAAATGTTTCTTATATTTTGGTCACTTCCTATTTCTTTTCCTATTTCTAGGAGATTGATCTTTTAAATCAATAGAGTAAAAGGCACTGAACTCCAGAGATAGCAAATGGAGGCAGAAGGTGGATTGTAAGAAGGGTGAGACTAGGAGATGATGGACGTAGGCCGTGTACGGAATTTGAATTGAAGCAAGGTTTTGGAAAGTTTTAAACCTAGTGAGAGCAAATCATATTGTCTATGACAGACAAAAGTACTCAGTTGATTATAATGAGAGTAAAACTGTCAAAGTGATGCCAAAAAAGGGGGAAAACTTGTTTAAATTAAAAATTTAGCTAAGTTTGAAGTAGAGAGCAAAAATTTTCATCTGTCTTCACTGTCACTCTATGCATGTGAAAATATATTTATTATTTTCTAAATTAATTTAATGAGTTCCAGATTGTACAGGATGTCATAATGGAAACAGGATTATACAAGATAATGAGTTCCTTTTTTTTTTTTTTGATAAATGAGTTTTACCTAGACTCCCTATCTCGTACTTTTGATCTTAACTGTGTTTTATTTACCACATTGAAGGAGGTTGCATAAAGGGTAAAATAATAGAAACTTAATCAGGAAACAGGTTTCCTTACTGCTGCATTTTATTACATACTCCTGCCATATTCTTTAGCCTAATTCTTGAAAATCTTAAAAGATGTCTCATTTTAAAATAAGGACAAACTGAAACCACATTGCATTATAACTGCATCTTTCTTCTGTGCCATCTCAAACATTTCACACCAATTGATCTTCTGAACAAACTTGGGGATTATTTAAGAGTTATTGTAAGGGAGTATAAACTTCCCAAACTTTACCTCTTATAAAATACTAGATAAACATTGGTTTGTGAATGTAATTTTACAAATGAAAAACAAATACAAAGAGGCAAAAATCTTGTTTGTTTGTTTTTTTCCAAAAGCCCAGTCAAATAATTTTCATTGTAGAGAATAGTATAATATGAAGTAGCCCAATTAGTCAGAACATAGAATTTTACAGTGAAAATAATTTCGTGGAAAGTATTATCATGGCATATAAAGGTATATAGTTATACTGCACATATGACTGATTTTGTTAATGTAATGCTATTTTCTGATACACAAATATCTGCATATGCTTTTTATAACCCATACCAAAACAATTAGTCTATTTTGATAAGCACTTGGGTTCTGAAACTTTACATCCTCGAAATTTCTGTCATCAATTAATTTCGAAAAGACTTCCAACATGGCTATAAATTTATCTCCAGAGTTTCCAAATAAATACTTTGGAAAGTTGAGTTTACTTTTCTAATATTTTCTTGTTTCATTTCCTCATCACCCAACAGATAATCACCATGGCCACAGCCTCGAAGAAAGAATTATCTATGGAGTAGAAAATAGTAGCACGTTCCTGGAATGCAGTCCAAAGTCACAGCGAGCTCTGGTCTATTGGCAATTCCAGAGGCGAAATGAAGAGAGAAAAGAAGAGGTATAGGAATGAATTTGACTGGATTATTTCTAATATGTTCTAAGTGAGCCCAGCATGGTTGACTTGAGGAGGAGGAAAGTACTGTGAATCTTTATCCTTTTCCTAACCCAATAATCACTCATTCATTAAATAAGTGTTTATTGAAGCCTGATTATATGACAGGCTTATTTTAGGAGCTGGAGAAACAAAGGTAAGCTGGAAGACTTTTGTCCCAGAAGCCCTTTGGGGATATATTTTAGTCTTTTTTCTTTACGCGTTATCTACAAGGCAATTATGTTATCTATATTGTCTTCAAAAAATCAAATCCTCATACTAATTTTAACTTTTGTTCAATTAATGCCGCTATAAAAACGTGTATTTCTTTTTCCATTCACTTTCAAATGAGGAGGGAGAGGTTTGGGGAAGGGAGTAGTAGGTTTAGGATGAAGGATCTAAGGTCCCAGTATGAATTCTGATATGAACCATGCATGTAGCATCAGATAGATCTTCTCCTTAAATGGATACGTTTATTCCTCTGTAAATTAAAAAAAAAAATACATATATATATATGTATATATATATGTATTTTTTTTTTAATGTATACACAGAAATTCTCAGTGAGTACTCTGAGCTTCAATGCTTTTTAAAAGCATTAAATAACGGTAACCAGACTATGTGGGTGATTTGTAAATGTATTACACGCAGACAATTTTACAAACATAATCTGAATATGAAGGTAAAAATCCTCCCATTATCTTTTTTGACATGTGAAGCAGTCTTTAAATGATAATCATATCATACAAATGTCAGGGTTGATTTTATACTTTACTAGTTTAAACTTTCAGGATCTCTTTTGTAAACTGTATTCAAAATAAAAATGAGGTAAGATATATTCAAAAGCATATCTTCATTTTTTATGTCACATATAAGACATAAGAAATTGAATAAATAATTAAGCATGTAACCCCTGATTTTTGTATTTTTTCCCAAATCTTATGTTAATTACGATGTTGCATTGTCTTCTAATATCATGGTTTTGTATTTCCAATGCCAATATTTAATGTTAACTTTTTCAAATATTTATATGCCTTGTTTCAAACATGTAAATAAAGTATATCTTTGTACTTTTCTCCCATTATCTTGAATATTTTAAATTATTATAATGAGAAATTTAATTAAAACAGTAGACAAACAATATTTTGCAATGCATCTTAAAAACAACTGACAGAAATTTATAACTTTTTTTTTTCTGATGGGAAAATGTTCTCATATCTCTAAGCTAGAAATTTTATTAACTGTTAAAGTGTGCCCCAACACAGTTTCAGAACTTACTTTTTTAAAAATATGTATATATTTTACTGCCTTTTGTTTCTTCTGCTAGATTAGAGTGGATGATCATATCATCAGGACAGAACAAGGCCTTCTACTGCGTAGCCTTCAGCGGAAGAATTCAGGCAATTACCTGTGTCATGCCGTAGAGCACGGCTTCATGCAAACTCTTCTTAAAGTGACCCTGGAAGTCATCGACACAGAACATTTGGAAGAACTTCTTCATAAAGATGATGATGGAGATGGCTCTAAGACCAAAGAAATGTCTAACAGCATGACCCCCAGCCAGAAGGTCTGGTACAGAGACTTCATGCAGCTCATCAACCACCCTAACCTAAACACAATGGATGAGTTCTGTGAACAAGTTTGGAAAAGGGACCGAAAACAACGTCGGCAAAGGCTAGGACATACCCAAGGGAACAGTAACAAATGGAAGCACTTACAGGAAAATAAGAAAGGTAGAAATAGGAGGACCCACGAATTTGAGAGGGCACCCAGGAGTGTCTGAGCTGCATTACCTCTACAAACTTCAAACAAGTAGAAACTTGCCTAAGACAATAACTGGAAAAAATGCAATATACATGAACTTTTTTCATGGCATTATGTGGATGTTTACAATGGTGGGAAATGCAACTGAGTTCCACCAATTATAAATTAAGTCCATGAGTAACTTTCCTAACAGGCTTTCTTCTTAACACCAACACGTAATAGTGGTCAGGTGAACGCAGATGTTCACTTTTAGCAGACTTAATGTTTCCTATGGGATTTCATTGTACAGGTTTCGCTTTCTTCTTTGCCTGAGAAATAAAAATGTCATTTTCCATATTGCCATCTAAAGAAGAAAAATTGCATCAGCAAAGCCATTTTATTGAACTAAAACTTTAAAATAAGCTGCATGGATTTACTAAGCTGATGAATATTCCAAAACGTAGTTGGATTTGAGGATCTTTTTTGTCTACCAGCACTCGTGTTTATATGTACTGGAGGAGTAAAATGATACTGAATGAAATGGTCTGTGGAAATATAAAAAACATAAACCATCCATCATCCAGAAGAAAAAATGGAATACACTGATCTACTACTGATGTCTTCTTTCAGCTTTGATCTAAAGATGTATTTTATTAAAACTATAATTTAAATGTACCATGACAAATATGCAGTAAAATTTAGCTCTTTTCTAAGCTAGAATAGGTTTTTGTCTTACAATTACTGTGCTATATAGTTTTTGTTGTAAAAATTCCAATTGTGTGCTGCTTTTTTTTCAACGTTTTGGTTTTAGTTCTGCAAGAGGGATAGCTGATACTGTTTTAGAAACACATATACATCATTAACAGTTAATTCCTAAAATTCAGATGTAAATTATGCTTTATTTCTCTGAAGATATCAAACAAATAACACCTCTCCTTCTTTAAATATTATCTAAACTAGTTTTAACCTGTATAATGTCCTTTAAAAAAACAGAGCATTTAACCAGCAAAAAAAAAGGAAGAAACAGATCCATTTGTTAAATTCACTTTGTTGTACCTAATGGATCAATAAGGAGAAAAGGAACTGCATATTTCATAATATTAATAAGCATTATCTTAATATAATGTTAATAGCAAATGTCTCGTAATTCTGTCCTGAAACCCGGCGATATTCGAGACATAAATATTCATTCTCATGATTCCACTGGGAATTACATCTGTGCTAATTTTTTTCAAAAAAGATCAGTAATATTCATAACATGTTGAAAGCAAATTTCTCAACTGTTTGCATCTGTATCAGCTGCCTCTTATTTCACATTGATTAAGACAATTATCTGTCTAAAGAATGCAAATTCTTTTCATATTAATGGGAGTGAATTTTATACAAACTATTTTCCAGGACACTGCCCATACTTAGAACATGTAAAACTCTTGGTCTCCTACAACAACTTATAAAATAAGATAAAAGATTATTAACTAAGGTCTTGCCTTCTTCATTTTCTTAAAATGATTCCTTGAGAATCACTGACTTCAAGATGTAAAAAACTGTCAGCATTACAACAGTTTCTTTTGTATTACACTCACCTTGCCAGGAATCCTTCCCCAGATCCTTGATCACACATAAAAATGCAAAAGAAACATCCTATTGCTGATGAAAGCAGCATCGAAATTCTAACTCTGTCTTGGAATAATAATTCACGCAGAATTACTTTCTCACCTCAGACTAGTTCATTTTACAAATT